CGTGCCCTTGAGTGCCCACAGGGTCACAGGCCTTTCCAGGGACCTAAAAGGGAGAGACCTGCTCTAGCCCAAGGCTGATCAAGCCAACCGACTCAGGGACAAGGAGCCTTTTATGTGTCCAGCCGCTGGCCAGGGCTTTGTGCTGGGGCTTGAAACCACATTCAAAACTAATGAAGTGCCTTTCCTGATTCCGCTTTGCGAGAACATGCCTCTCTGAGTATCAGGGCATTGTTACTTCCCTGAGGAAAGCCCAGGGACATCCGTATCCAGGGACCCTCTGTCAAAACACCATTACATGGTGCCCCGATCTCGCTCAAATTTCTAAACAAAGGTGAGCACTAAAAATGATTTGGAAGTAAAATCGATTGCAGAATTGATTTTACTGATATTACTACCAGTAATATCCTTCACAGTACAGAATTCAGAGCAATTAGATATTTCCAAACCAGCTCACAGGGCTCAACCAAATCTTGACAGTGAACTAAGATGCCCCCCCACGGAACGCACCCCATGCCACAGCCCCATTGCCCACAGCACTGCACCGGCCTCGCGAGTTTGGAGCTGGAGATCCAGTCAACATTGAGACAAGGGACATGAGCGCTGGCCATGAGCCTGTGGAGTCCTGTCGTGCAGTGAGTGAGACACACTAGGGCTCCAAAAGCGCTGCGGGTACCCCCGCCCACGGCTACAAGTGGTGCGATCTGTCTCTAGTGAGAACGCCGTGTAAATCCTGACTTTCATGCACCGAGTCTCCAAGATCTCCACCTCCTGGCTTCACATGCTGCTCCGGCAGCCCTGGGAGGCGGGCAGGAGGCCACGCTGCTCTCGGCATCGGCAGTTTGCATGTAGAGTCTGAAAGTGCACAGTCACCTTGACAGTGATGTGAAATGAGGCAAACGCGCTATCTCGGTAATAGAGGCCCGCCCTGCCGGCAGCGCAGACGGCAAGTGCTGTCCTGATGGGCCCAGACTCTGTCGTTTACTCTTCTGACACATTTTCTCTATTTGTGACAAGTAATATGGATTGTTTTAAATTATAAGTTATTTTTCTTCTTTAAACCCCCAAAGGTCACTTAGACAGACACACCATTAGGCCACAGACAGGAGACTCTGGCTAAGCTCAGTGGCCTGGTGGGCCACTCCCCGCTGGACAGCTGCCCTCCCGCTGACAAAATGCCCAGACATCACCCAACCATGCACTGTTATCTCCTGCTAGACTGACAGGTAAACGCTCAGAGTCACTGAGAAGTGGGTCTACGGAACAATAGGGCGCTGGCAGTGTGTGAGTGAACCCGCCAGGCCCTCTCAGGACACTCTCACAAGCAGCAGCAGAAAGCTAGCCCTGACCGAGGAACTCCTGCGCAAAGTCACCAAGACGCGAGTGCACACAGACCTCTCTGAGGCTCAGCCTCGCAGGAAACCTTATTCCAGCCAGAAACGTTTGCGTGCCCGACCGCTGCCGACCTCAAAGGACACCTTTGTGTAAATAGAGCTGAAATGTTTACATCCATGGAGGTGTTTTCCAACGTTATTTCTAAGCATAGTTGCACCATGAAGTTTTTCTTTAGTATTTGTCTACATTTGCCCTTATTTCTTATTTGATTGAACTATGTATCATATAATTACTTCAGCAAACATTATTTCAGCAGCGGGAACAGTTTTCTATTTGTCTGAGAAGACAAGTGTTTTTATAAGTGAATGTTTCATGTTTTAAAAATACAGGACTTTATTTTTTGTTCTTTTTTTTTTTTTGGCTGAAACTGAACACCTGAAAAGCAATACTATGGGTTTCATATTTCTCCATTAACATATTTTATTTGAAAACATCCACATGAAAGTTTGGCTAAAAGGATATTCACTCCAAGAAGCAAAATGGCTTTTACCCCAACAAAAATCTTAATCAGAGAGATTGGAAAACAGTAACACAGAGCGATTCTGTTCTTCCCATTACCTGAACGGTATTTGAAATAAAAAAATTACTTCTGGCCACTTTGCTTTCATAGAACAGTGAATTTCATGTTATCCTTTCCAACAAGGTTACCAATTTATCAAACATTAATTTACCAAAATCCAATACCACTGAGATAAGCTATTTATAGAATTTAGTGGCAAAAAAAGGCAATTCATTAAAATGCCAAGTATCAACAAATATATACAAATACATTCCAAGCCTGTCCCCAATAAATTAATAACTACCATGTGGCATTTTAAGATCATAGTAAACATCTAGGCACTTAAATAAAAATTTCATCACCTTTCTTTTTTTTAAACTTAGATTAAAATTGAGTACACCAGTGATACCATTTGATTTTTCCCCCATTGGGTCTATAGTTCTTCAATATTATCGCAAATATTTCTTAAAATGTATTTGGATTCAGTAAAAGTTAAAAAGTTGGTTTCTTCCTACCTGCCCGCCTCATGGGTTGGTGAGAATGACGGCCCTTTGCAGAGCTGCCTGTAGGCATCTCCAGGTGGAGCCGGGGAGGGAGTCCCTGGGTGCAGGCAGACCTGCCCGCCATCCTCACTGAGCTGAGTGACAGACCCCGGCACTCTCCTCCCACCACTAATATTTGTGGATAAAGTCCTATTTAAAGTGCAAATAAATATCAACAGCAACTTAATTTTTATTATACAAAGTTGGAAAGGATAGGAAGCACTAAGGAAATTTTAAAATCACTCATAAATCCAACTTCTACAGGAAAGCATCCTGGTGCATTTTCAGTGACTGTCTCAGCAGTCAGTCCTTGTTCTGTGTGTCAAGATAACACTGCCCAGCATACGGGACTATCAGACAGGTTCACAGTGAGTAGAAGACTGTGAGTCAAAATAATTAAAAATCACAGACTAAACTACAGGGTAGGGGCAGGCATGGGTCCGATTCCTCATCCCTAGGTCATAAGGACAGTGGGGACAGTAAGAAAGATGGCCTTTCCAACAGAAGAACCTGGGAAGTGTCTCAGGGTCCAAAAGAAAGTTCAGAGGCTGCTAACCAATAGGTTCCATCGTTGCTGTTGAGCCTGTGACACCAAAAAGAAGCCATTCTTTAGCATATGCTACACACTAACCAGGAACATAGGAGGGAGCTGGGGTTGCTCATACCGAGTCTGAACACAGCCCAAGGAGTAAGGCTCAGTCATTCTTTCTATGTGATCACAGGACTCATTTTTGTTGTTTTAACCTGAGGAATGGCTCCAGTAAAAATGTAATTTTGAAATAGATCCCCTACTTAAGGATTTCCAAATATTTTATAAATAAAAGAGAAACATGGTAATTAGCCGTACCTCCGCTACCCTTCCCATTGGCTAATCAGGGCGATATGCAAATTAACTGCCAGCCAAGATGGCGGCCGGCAGCCAGGCAGCTTGAAGTGAACATGAGGCTTGCTTGCTTCAGTGATGGAGGAAGCCAACCTTCCCCACCTGCCGCTGCCGGCCTCTGAGCTTGCAGTTTGAAACATTATTACAAATATAGAAGCTAAACAAAACCCTAGAAACCTGCTTTCAGGCAGCTGGGATCTCAGAGCTGGAATTGAAACAGTGTTTCGATTATAGAACCCAAACAAACCAGATACCTGCTTTCAGCAGCTGAGGCCTCAGAGCTGGAGCCAAGCCTCAGAGCTAAAGCTGGCCCAGAATATTTAAAAAAAGAGAGAAAAAGGAGCAGTTGGGAGCTTCAGTCACCCGCCAGCTGAAAACAGCCCTCAGCCCCTCACCCAGACTGGCCAGGCACCCCAGTGGGGACCCCCACCCTGAAGGGGGTGGGACCAGAGCAAACAGTCATCATCCCATCATCCAGGCTGGCCAGGCACCCAAGCGGGACCCCCACCCTGATCCAAGACACCCTTCAGGGCAAACCAGCCAGCCCCCACCCATGCACCAGGCCTCTATCCTATATAGTAAAAGGGTAATATGCCTCCCAGCACCGGGATCAGCAGAGACGCGAGGCCTCCCAGCACTGGGATCAGCATGACGGGGGCAATGCCCAAACCCCCTGATTGCCCTGAGGCTCTGTGTGTGATGGGGGGGGGGGGAGGGAGGGCCACAACCTCCCTATCCGCCCTGCTCTGTTCATGACAGGGGAAGGCGCCCCAACTCCCCAGTCAGCCCTGCTCTGAGCCCGACCAGGGGCTGCACCTAGGGATTGGGCCTGCCCTCTGCCACCCGGGAGCAGGCCTAAGCCAGCAGGTCATTATCTCCCGAGGGGTCCCAGACTGCGAGAGGGCACAGGCTGGGCTGAGGGACTCCCCCTCCCCCCCGAGTGCACAAATTTTTGTGCACCGGGCCTCTAGTATTTTATAAACTGGGATGTGAGGAGTAATTGTGAACAATTCTTTTTACACCAAAAAAAACCTGTCTTTATTAAATAGTCTTTAAAAACTAATCCTAGCCGAAACCGGTTTGGCTCAGTGGATAGAGCGTCGGCCTGTGGACTGAGAGGTCCCAGGTTTGATTCCGGTCAAGGGCATGTACCTGGGTTGCGGGCACATCCCCAGTAGGAGATGTGCAGGAGGCAGCTGATCGATGATTCTCTCTCATCGATGTTTCTAACTATCTCTCTCCCTTCCTCTCTGTAAAAAATCAATAAAATATATTTAATAAATAAATAAATAAATAAATAAATAAATAAAAACTAATCCTAAATTGGTGATCTTCACTGGTTAGAGAGGAGTGTTAGTTCATAAGGTAATAAAAACACAAAAACAGGAGTCCAGGTTCATAATAATTTTAATTTCTATTCACATCTATTAAATTTGAAAAAGAGTTAGGTCAAGATTTTTTGGTGTGTGCAGACCAAGGAAAAATATATAACCACTAGAGCAGGGGTGGGCAAACTTTTTGACTCGAGGGCCACAATGGGTTCTTAAACTGGACCGGAGGGCCGGAACAAAAGCATGGATGGAGTGTTTGTGTGAACTAATATAAATTCAAAGTAAACATCATTACATAAAAGGGTACGGTCTTTTTTTTTTTTTTAGTTTTATTCATTTCAAACGGGCTGGATCCGGCCCGCGGGCCATAGTTTGCCCACGGCTGCACTAGAGGCACAGTGCATGAAATTCATGCACTTGGGGGGGATCCCTTAGCCTGGCCTGCGCCCTGGCACAGTCTGGGAGACCTGGGAGGATGTCTGACTGATCACTTAATGGGCCTAAGCCATCAGTCAGACATCCTTAGCATTGCCACCGAGGTGGGAGAGGGTCGCACCACTGCCGCTGTGCTCACCAGCTGTGAGTCCGGCTTCAGGCTGAGCAGTGCTGCACACTGACCATCAGGGGGCAGCTTCTGCATTGAGTGTCTGCCCCAGCGGAGAGGGCCCAGCAGTGGCGGAGTGCAGACCTGGGTGCCTCGGGGCGCTGACGGGTGTTTGACTGCGTGATATTGTTGTGGGCGCCCCTGGCGGGGGTGACAGGGAAGAGATCGGGAGTCGGAGGTGCGGGCTGCAGCTAACCTCAAGGCTGGGTCTTCTCCCTGTCTGGTCAGCTTACCTGACCCTTCAGGGGTGCGGGGGCTGGGGTAGGGTGTCCCCCTGTCCCTCTGGAGGTGCAGGGGCTGGGGTAGGGTGTCAGTCTGTCCCCTTGGGGGTGCAGGGGCTGGGGTAGGGTGTCCGTCTGTCCCTCCAGTGGTGCGGGGGCTGGGGTAGGGTGTCCGTCTGTCCCTCTGGGGGTGCAGGGGTTGAGGTAGGGTGCCCGTCTGTCCCCCTGGGGGTGCGGGGGCTGGGTAGGGTGTCCGTCTGTCTCCCTGGGGGTACAGGGGCTGGGGTAGAGTGTCCGTCTGTCCCCCCAGCGGTGTGGGGGCTGGGGTAGGTGTCCGTCTGTTCCCCTGAGGTGCAGGGGCTGAGGTAGGGTGTCTGTCTGTTCCCCTGTGGGTTTGGGGACTGGGGTAGGGTGTCTGGCTGTCCCCCTGGGGGTACGGGGACTGAGGTAGGGTGTCTGTGCAGGGGGATTGGAAGAGCTCCCCGTGGCTGCTTCCTCTTCCTTCTTTGCAGTCCAAGCTCCTGTCAGGCGCTCTCCTCAGATCCCGGGAACTTGGCTCCTGCCTCCCACCTTCTGCTGGTCTGTCAATATGCAAATTGGTCGTTACTGGGACACCATAAAGGACAATTAGCATATTACCTCTTTATATGTACAGATAGTATTTCTTTTTAAATACTAAAGTAGTTTTGTTATAAACAGCAGAATTCCTGTAATTATTGATATTTAAATAATTCAAGCCATATTCCCCTTTATTTTGCTAATTTTTATAGGAATGTTATTCCAAAGAACACAAAGGAATGAGCAAAAATCACATTAAGAGTGTTCATATGATTTCCTGGTATTTTTAGTAAAATAGATATTTCTAAAATATACATAAAATGTTTACCTCTTCAAGTCCTTTTCTCCTACACATTAAAATGTTATTCCATTTTAATTGATCATTAGTGGTAATGTTTCCTAAGAATACAGCTTTCAGATTTTTTTCTTCCTGGCATATTTCTCAGATCATCAATTATTAACAAACATTTAACTAAATCAGTTGAATTTTATTTAAAGAAATTTTTTCATAAAGTGAGTTGCCTTAGGAATACAAGGAACCTTTTTTAATAACATTTTTCATCATATTGCCCAGATAGAATTACCACAATGGGACAAATTACATACCTGATTTTCTGAGATGGTCAAATGTATTTGTCCCAACTCAGTGGGTGAATTTCTCATTGCCAAGTAGCCTATAATGCTGCAGTTTTTTAAATTTTAGTTCTTTATAAATGAGTCATGTGGTCTGTGTACATGGAGCCCTTCCCAGGAGACTACGACATCCTGAAGGCGGGCTGTGCCTAGTTTTCCCCATGGCACCCACCGAGGCACAGGCACCGGGGGTCTTAGGGGGGAGGGAAGGAGAGGTTTACCTGAGCACTCTGTGCTCTTGTCAGCATTTCATACAAGACAAGAAACGATCCTTATTCTTCATGTTCAGCTTCTTTATCTTCATTATCCGATTTTGTTAGGCAGGTGCATTAGTTTCAGCTGCCATAGCCAATTGCCAAAAACTGGGTGGCTTAAAAAATACAGAGGTTTCTTCTCAGACAGTTTTGGAGGCCAGAAGTCTGAACTCAGGTACAGGCTGGGTCATGCTCCCCGGGACTCCTGCCCAATCTCACAGTTCTCAAACTGTGGGTCGCCACCCCTTTGGGGGTCGAATGACCCTTTCAAAGGGGTCGCCTAAGACCATCAGAAAACACATATATAATTACATATTGTTTTTGTGATTAATCACTATGCTTTAATTATGTTCAACTTGTAACAATGAAAATACATCCTGCATATCAGATATTTACATGACGATTCATAACAGTAGCAAAATTACAGTTATGAAGTAGCAACGAATATAATTTTATGGTTGGGGGTCACCACAACATGAGGAACTATATTAAAGGGTCGTGGCATTAGGAAGGTTGAGAACCACTGTCTTAGAGGAATAAATGATTTTTCTAATGTTTGGAAGTCACTGTTAAACACTGTTATTTTCTTCTATTGAAAACTCTATTATAAAACATATCCGTCTGAGTGACTGATCCTCTGATTCCCATAAGTATTTGCCTTCCCTGCCTGTCCCCTATCCCCTACTCCTTTCCTCCTCCACATGGCAACAGAATAACCACGTGGCCAGGTGGGCGACCGCATGGCTGACATGTGTCTGCCCTCCAGGCTCAAACCTTCCCTCTCGTGGGCTGTTGGGAGGGTGGGACAGGCAGCTTCTGACCCATCCCAAGCCCTTCTCCATCAGCCCGATCAGGAAGGAAGTCGGACCTTCATCCTCCCACTCCTGTGTCTCCCTCAGCTGGTCAGGACTTAGGTGGTGAGGAGAAGGAGTTACTTAGTAACCGCCTTAGCGACCAAGTGTATTAGGAAGCTTTAATTTCCCACATGATTTATGAGCATAAAACAGTGAATCGGAAAAGCTCCTGAAAGGCCACAGCCAAAGATATGATCAGTGTGTAGTTAAAGGAAAGGTAACACTCTGTCCCAGGGGGAGAGGGACTTATTTTCAGTTTGGACCCAAACTGCAAGTTACTCTTCTGGTCAAAAGGAGCAAAATACAATTAGCGACCTGACCCACCCCCTGCCCTCCCTGCCCCCCAGGGGCAGGACACACACCTGAGCTTTGTCACTTCTGAAAAGCTACCCAGGCCTCCACGGCCTGTCAACTCCTCAAGCACTTTAATTCCTCCTGGAAGGAGCAGGATATAAGTGAGTGTCTACTCACCTTCCAGCATCCAGCTCAAGGGTCGCCTTTGCTGCAGAACCGCGGGCGTCCCCGACTCCCAGACCTCGGCATCCCTTCCTCTGTGCCGTCGCGCGTGTAACACGCGTGCTGCACAGTTTGCCTCTCACATGGGAAGACGGCCCTCGGGGCAGAGTCTCCCCTCCAGTGTCCACTAAAATGCCGGCCGCAGCCGTGCCTGTGAGCGTGGAGGGAGGACCGTGCCTGTGAGCGTGGAGGGAGGACCGTCTCCCCGGCGGCTGAGCAGACACGCCCTCCTCCTGTGTTCGCTTTTCACTCCTTTCTTTTAACTGGAGCCGGAGCCTCCTCTTCTCCTGTTCGGTGAGATCATGGGTTTGAGAGCGGGAGCACGACGCTGTGAGGGGTGCCCGGCTGGGTCCCAGGCCCCAGTCAGCGGAGGGCGCCTTCTGCCTGACACGTACCCAAAGAACGAGTCTTGACAAAAACCCAAATTTTAACAATGTTCTCTAATCACATATTTTCTTTCCGCCTTAATTTATGAGAAGAGTTGAAAAACCATAAGTACTTGGTACTATTGAACATATGATTTTGTATATGGTGCTTCAAAAAGAAGGAATTTTTTCTGTAGAAATAACATCAGTCCCTCATTGCAGGGGAATATTTGACTTTTCCTTTTTCTTACTTCATAAACAAACACATGAGGGCACATTCAATCCTGGTTTTCTCCCTGAGGCCCCAGACGGCGGTAACGTGGTGGGTAGTGAGCAGCTCTCCATTCACAGTACCTGTGCGGTCACAGCGACACAACTGCCAGGCGTGGCGGGTCATCCGCTACCACTTTTCTAACTGAACCCCGAGGTTCTATTTTCTGTGAAATTGAAACTGGAAACACAAATCTTTGGACAATTCTGACCTGGAAGTCCCGTCTGTAGGTCAGCCTCTAACTTTCCATAACCAGCTAAGCAAACAGCTGACACAGGGGTGCCCCTGTCCTCTGGTCCTTCCCGTCAAGACCCACTTCTTCTGGTCAGAGATGCAAGGCAGAGAGGAAGCCGTGCAGGGAAGGGGCGGGACGGCGGGCAGCAAGCAGTGTGGCAGACCAGGCTGGGCAGGTGAGCGTTTCCCGCCACAGCTGACACTGGAAGGAGCTGCGGAGAGTGGTCATGTTCGCAATTAGCAGGGGACTGAGAAGGACTGCAGGGCCAAGTGTCCAGTGCCACAGCCAGGAGCGCGCTGGAGCTCCTGGACTCACCCCTCCCTGGTCCCCGCCATCCTCCTCTTGGCACCCGTGCACATGCCTTGTAGGGAGCTCATGTTCGCACTTCACAAGGGACTGGAACTTCCTCTGGTGAAGTAGAACTTTCACAATTCTGTGAAAAATAAATTGTCCTGGTACAAGGCTGAGAGGGTCCCATTAGGGTTCGTGTTGCCGGCCCAGAGCTCCCAGTCCAGGGGAGCAGCTGGAGTTTGTGTGGGAATGGCCATTGGGTCAGGGGGAGCTCCTGGCATAAGAGGGAGCCAACCATAGGCTGGTGGGGAGCCCAGACGGGGCTTAGAGCAAAAGGCTCTTGTAACTGGACTGTCCTCCTGCTAAATGTGGGTTAGACTTACCAGTCGGCGGGCGAGAGAGCAGCCCACAAGGGAAAGAACAGAGACAAGATGGGGAGGGCATAGAATCGCTTGTTTTTGAGGTGCCCGGGTTCCTCACAACTGCTCACACGTCCACACAGCCTCACCTTGTAACGAGGGGGCTTCGGCCTCTCCTTCTTGCATGTAAAATAGCCTGTCATTCACATCCCTCGGAAGTGACAGAGATCTGCTCTGGCGACAAATAAAACGCTCCGACCTCAGCTGTTTAAAACAGCCCAGATTTCCTTCCCTTTAAATGCCCATCGCGAGGCATCACCCCCTCCAAGGTGCAGATGCGAGGGCACGGGGGCATTCTCGATGCCGCGGCAGAGAGCCTCCCGGGAGGTCCTGTGTAGCAACCTGAACAAGAACAGGGCACACGCGCACGCCCACCCAGGCTTTCCCTGCTGCGCGCTCCCGTCCGGTGTCAAAGGCAATGATCGCGCGTGGAGTTGCGCGGACTCTCCAGTCTCAGGGGCACGACTAAGTCTGCGTCTGCCCACCACCGCCCCAGCACTACCCCCGGAATTAGAAACCCCGGTGTTAATTGAATTTTAATTGAATTTACTGGGGTGACATTACAATTATGTAGGTTCAGGTGAACAATTCTATACACAGCGTCTGTTTGTTGTACTGTGTCCTCCCCCCCAAGTCAGCTCTCCTTCCGTCACCGTTTACCCCTTCACCCTCCACCCCCTTCCCTCGGCGACGGCCGCCCCGCTGTCCGAGTCCGAGCGCTGCAGCTGCTGCAGCCCCGCCTCCCCCACCTCCCCCCTCAGCCCCCAGCGGGGCATGTCTGACTCCTCGGCCGCTTCCCACGTCCAGTCTGGCGCCACCTGTAGACGCTCGTCTCTCGACTCCGCCCGGGCGGCCTCCGTCTCCCGTGGTCTCCCGCCCGGAGACCCCCATCGGCGGGGACCCTCATCACCCGCACCCAGTGTTCCCGCCGGCACCTCACCGCCCGTCCCCAGAGCGTCTGTCCCGCGCCGGCTGCAGGGAGGGGACAGGGGACGGGGGACCCGGGACGGGGCCCGGCGGCTGGGACCCGAGACCCAGCCGACCCCGCCCCCGGCCCGTGCGTCACGAGGGGCGGGCCGTACGTCCAGGGGGCGGAGCCAGAGGGCGGTTCGCGCAGACCGCGCCCCGCGCCGTGGCCCCGCCCCGGCCGGAAAGGGGCGGCCGCACCGCTGAGGGCCCGAGTTTCTGACTCTTGGTGGGACCCGCCGCCCGCCGCCCGCCGCCCGCCTCTGCGAGGCCTCCTGCCCCGAGCGGACGCGCCATGGAGGGCCGCCTGCCGGGCGCCGCGGCAGAGGGGCTGCCCGGCTGAGCTGGGGCGACACCGAGCTGCCGGGCCCTGCGGCGGGCGGGCGGGCGGGCACGGGGACCCCGGTCTGGGCGCCCGGCCCCGCGGCCTCGGAGCTGCCGCTGAGCGCGCGGCCCGGGGACGACCCGGGGGCGGCTGGCCGCGGTGGGGCGCGCGCGCTGCGGCCGGGGCCTGGCGCTGGGCTGCGCGCTGGCGGCGCTGGGCCTGGCCTCGCTGGCGCTGGCCCGCCGCGCGCTGCGGCACCTGCTGCGCTGGGCCGAGGGCCTGCCGCCGCCGCTGGGCCCGCTGCTCTTCGCGCTGGGCTTCGTGGCCGTGTCCTTCCCCTGCGCCTGGGGCTACCTGGCGCTCAGCGTGGCCGCCGGCTACCTGTACGGCTTCGCGCCGGGCCTGGCGCTCGTGGCCGCGGGCGCGCTGCTCGGCACCGGCCTGGCGCACGGGGTCTGCCGGCGGCTGCTGGCGGCGCGCGTGGCGGCCCGGGTGCGAGGCAGCGAGCGGCTCAGCGCCGTCGTCCGCGTGGTGCAGGGCGCCGGCGGCCTCAAGGTGGTGGCGCTGGCCCGACTGACGCCCATCCCGTTCGGGCTGCAGAACGCAGTGTTCTCGGTGAGTGTCGGTCCCCGCGGGGAGGGCGCCCGTGTGGTCAGTGCCCGGGAGGTGACAGCTACAGGGGCCAGGACTCCCTGGGCGCTCACGGTCAAGCCGATCGGTCAGGCCCCAGCGGGAGGTCTGGCGGAGCGGAATGCCCCCTTTTCGCATGTTTTGGTCAAAACCGAACTTGCCGCTCTCAGTGCAGATGGAGGGAAATGTCCATTTGCCACCTTACTTCTCTGGGAGCCAGGACCGCACGCAGCCTTCTCTGTCGCCTGCATCCTGACTCCAGGGTTCCATGACCCGCGAGCAGGGGGCCGTGGCGGCAGACCCACACTTTTAAGTTTCCTCACTGAATAGGCCTCCGGCGCCCGTACTTGCCTTAATGCAGTGTGAAGAGGGAGGACCTCCTGCCATCTTTCTTAGAAGGAACGTCACTCTGAAATCCCAGGTCCCCGTGCCCAGCGCGCACGCCCTTCTCGCGCCTCCAGAGCTGCCCTGTGCACTGCTGTCCGCTGGAAGCCGGTGGCGGGAGGCGAGCGTGCTGGCCCCTCTTCACGCTCCTGCTGAGTCGGGAACATGGACACATTTCCAGCCACCTGCCCCTGCTTCACCTTTGTGAGCGGAAGTGGTGGAACCAGTTCACAAGGCCCCCAATTAGGTGACTCGCAGAGTTTGCAGACTGTGGCGGCAGAGAGACAGCGTTCAAAGCCACAAGAGGGCCTGCATGTTATAGTTTCTGAACAAACACATTGTTTTGTTTAGAAAAGTCATTTTTAGTCTCTATAAACTTGTGTATTAAGGCTAATTCTAAATAGCTTAACTTGGTGACAAAATTAATTTTTTCTTTTGAAATCCTTTTGCAAATCTTGTGTTTTCTCTAACAGCAGCATCAGTGGCTGTAGACGAGTTTGGCGGAGGCCTGGTGTTGACCGTAGATGGTAGGGTCTCGGCCTCTACAGTATGAAGTGTGAACGTGAAGGCTCCTGCACTCGGGCCACAGAGAGTGAAGGCTGGGACTCAGGAGCCGGGGTTCCATCGCTAGCTTGCCTAGTTCCCGCTGTCCTGGTGAACTTTGCACCTTTTCCGTCCCTTGCGGTGCCTGCTATTCCGCTCTTTCTGTCTCTGGGTCAGATGCTCATTTGTAACACGGGGAACGCAGCGGTGCCTGTTCCGTAGGATTGCTGCGAGGACCCATCGGTGAACGGCCTCAGAGCTGGCTCAGCCAGCCTGCCCGCGGGCCTGTGACCCGCCCTGCTGCTGCTCAAGGCCACAGGTAGTAAATGAGTGACAGAGTCAAACTTTGCACTGTAGTCTGCTGATAGGATCGCCACCAGGGCTCTGCTGCTTCATGGTGTCTTTAGTCCCTAGTGTAGTTCTGTGCCTGCAATAAGGAGTAGGGGTCTGTTCATTTAAAAGGTATTTTTTAAATGTCTAACATATTAAACATGTGAGTAAGAAGTTGTACTTTGTACAGGGCTGTGTGGCCTCCCGCTGCTGCTCTCCTGTCCAGGCATATTTCTCGTTTTCTTCTTCCCTTCCTGTATTTTACTTATTATTTATTAAATATGTTTTTTATTGATTGATTTTAGAGAGGAGTTATGTGTAGTTATTCTTCTGAGCTGTACTTTCTGTTGTAATGTGTGTAACACCTGCAGCATAGCTGTGATAAAATGTGGTTTGCTTATTATTTACTATTTCCTTCTCTCCATCCCATGCATTTCAAGATGAGAACATTGATACCTAGAGTTTTTTTTAATTTAATAACTATTTATAGTGCTCTTACTAAGTGAAGGCCCCATTCTTCCACCCGGCACCTTATTTAATGCTCACATCAACCCTGACCCCCAACAGTGAAAGCCTGGGCAGCGGAGTGGGAAGTGACCCGCCCAGCACACGCCGGTGCATGGAGAGGCGTGGGCTCACCAGTCTGCTGGGCCGAGAAGAGCTGCGTTTCCCAGGGACCTGGCTCCTGGGCTTGCAGCTCACAGGTCTTTCTCTAACCTGTTGTGTCATAGTAACATGCACACGCATGTCTTATTACCCTTCCTCGATTAAAAAAGCCTTTAAAAGCAGGCACCTTTTTAAAATTTATTTTAACAGGTTTTGTTCTGTCTACAAAATAAGTTCATTGTAAAAACTTTGAAAAGTAAAAATTATCTTTACTTGAAGAAGAAAACAATCATTAACATTTCAGTGTGTTTTTCTAGTCACTGCATGTGGTAATGCACTGCTTTTCTTCTGTAACATTTTGAGTGAATGTTACAGACGGTTTTCGTGACCTTTTCCTGAACGTAATGGGCACTTGTTAAGGAAACTACAAAGTGACTCACAGTGACCAGCGGGCCGCTATGGTTTCCCATCTTTATATCTTTATCTCTGCTTAGGGTGCGGCCTCATGTGTAGAAGGCATTTGATAAATTTTTGTTGAATGAGTAAAAATTATAAACCTATACTTTGCCATACTCTATAAAGAAGATCTTTTTAACTATTCAGAGAAACTTCATTACATTTAGACTCTGGAATGATTCTTCGCATTCTGATATTTTGTAACTTAAATATTTATTTTAGAGATAACTTCCAAAACACAATGTTTTATTACTAGCTGCAATGTAAGATCATTTTGTCATATTTACTTATGTACTTGACAAGTTTATTCTAAAGAAAGTTCTCCTTTCCAGTGATTGCTCCAAACTAACAGGAACCTTCCTCAAATTTGGCCCCATTCACGTCATTCCTTAACTAGACCCCCAGTGTCCCCCCAGGGCCCCTACCTGTGTCACCTAGTGTCCTGTCATGCTTCCCAGGGTCCCCAGCGTGTGCCTGGACACAACCCCTGCTTTCCCACCAGTGTCCTGGTCATTCTCTTCCTAGAGACGCCCACCTGCCTCCTCTCACCTGCCCCTTCCCACCTCCCACCTGCCCCTTCCCACCTGCCTCCTCCCACCTGTCCCTTCCCACTTCCCACCTGCCTCCTCCCACCTGCCCCTTCCTGCCTCCCACCTGTCCCTTCCCACCTCCCACCTGTCCCTTCCCACCTCCCAACTGCCTCCTCCAACCTGCCCCTTCCCACCTGCCCCCTCTCACCTGCCTGCCAGCCCAGATGCAGCTTGCAGAGTTTTCCCTGTGCCTCCTCCTCGGGCCGCCCTTGCCCTGTCGCTGCAGCTGGTTGGTCCCACTCACTCTAATGCTCTGCACTGGTGTTGCATCTGCTTGGCCTCTGGGGCTGGCTGTGCTGTTCTGGTTCCTGGCAGGCAGCTGTGTCTACCTTGCTGTCTGTGGGCGCCACCAAGACCTTGGGGTGCGGATGTGAGTCTGTCCTTATGGGAGTTGTGAGTGACCTTCCAAACCAGCAGAGTGGCCTCTAGTGGATCATCTGTGAACAGGTGGACGCGGCTTAACCCAAAGCAGGAGCGGGCGAAGGGGAGCTCTCGGTTACACTGTTGGTACCAGGTCTACTAGGTCTCACTGTCACACCGAGGTGGGTACATGGGACAGTTATTCTCAGAATTAATGGCAGTAGCAGCAACATGAAGTGCTTAGAAATAAGTGAATAACATGCATGATGTACATAAATAAAACTACTAAACTTTAGGAAGGTGTAAAAATTCTGAGAAATTACAGAAACATTTTGGATAAGTGCTAAATATTCTGGAGGTTTCAGCTCTATCCAGTTTAATTTATAATATACCTTAATCATATATATAATTGACTACTTTTTTTGAATGACATAGTAGTCCTCAAATTTATCTGTAAGACTAGTTATGGCAA